AAGATGCTGCAACATACTCGGCTTCACATGTAGACAGGGTCACAATGGGTTCCTTCTTCGACACCCAAGTAAACGTCGTGTTTCCCATGAAGAACACATAGCCAGCCGTGCTCTTCCTATCATCAACATCTCCGCACCAATCACTATCTGAATAACCCGTCAGTTTGTATTTGTCCGACTTCAAGTAATGAAGTCCTTGTGAGATTGTTCCCTTCACATATCTCAGAATTCTCTTAGCCGCCTTCCAGTGAGTGTACCCCGGGTCTTCCATAAACCGACTTATGATCCCAACACTTAGACACAGATCCGGCCTTGTACATGTTAAATATCTCAGTCTCCCAACTAGACTCTGGTAGTAACTCGGATAAACTCTTTCTCCTCCATCATACTTCGAGAGTTTCAAACCGGGTTCTATTGCGTTGAAACCGGGTTGCAGTCTATCATTTTGAACTTTTCTAAAATTCCTTTTGCATAGGCTTCCTAAGAGACGAAGATCCCGGATTTGTCTTGTCTGACCTCCAGACCAAGAAAGTATCTCATCAGACTGAGATCCGTCATCTCGAACTCCTTCGTCATTTTCTTCTTGAAGTCTTTTATCATTCCTTCATCATTACCCAGAAAAATTAAGTCATCAACATATAAGGCAACAAGTAAAATTTTACCTTCCTTCTTCTTTACATAGAGAGCATGTTCATACGGACACTGCTCAAATCCATCATTCTTAAAGTAATTATCAATCCTTGTGTTCCAGGCTCTTGGGGCCTGCTTCAAACCATATAAGGCTTTCTTTAATCTCAACACTTTTCTTTCTTCTTCGACTTTCATGAACCTCGGAGGTTGTTCGAGATACACCTCTTCCTCGATTACTCCATTCAAAAATGTCGACTTCACGTCCATATGATAGATCGGCCATTCAAATTGGGCTGCTTGAGAAATCAACAGTCGTATTGTCTCCATTCTCGCCACGGGTGCAAACACCTCGTCACAGTCTACTCCAGCCTTCTGCTTATATCCTTTCGCCACTAGTCGGGCTTTGAATCTCTCTATCTCCCCTTTAGCATTCATTTTCTTCTTGTAGACCCATTTTACGCCAATTGGCCGACTTCCCTTTGCTAGCTCGGCTAACTCCCACGTCTTGTTCTTTTCTATTGCCTTCATTTCCTCCTCCATGGCAGATTGCCATTTCTCATCTCGGACAGCTTTCTCGAAGCTCAACTCCTTAGAATCTGCTAACAGACAAACGAGATGTGCCTCGTTAGTTGAGTCATACAAGTCTTGCAGACTTCTCATTCTCGGTTATCTCTGTTCTTCATCACTATCAGAGTCATTCGGATTCTCTGGAATCCGGGTCGAATGTTGTCCGACCTCAAATGATATGTGTCCGGGTTCCATATTGACCCCGGATGGACTACTCCAGTCCCATCCATCTTCCTCATTTACTTTCACATCTCGGCTCACCAACACCCTTTTACTGACGGTGTCCAGCAACTTGTACCCCTTCGTCTTCTCATCATAACCAATGTACACAAACTTCTTACTTTTGTCTTCAAGCTTCGTCCTCAACTGATCTGGTATGTGTGCATACACAACACTCCCAAAAATTTTAAAATGACCCACTGAGGGCTTCAAACCACTCCACGCTTTCTGCGGGATTTTATCATTCAGACTTTAATGAGCACATCGGTTCTGCACGTACACTGCACATTGTACGACCTCTCCCCAGAACTCCTTTGGCATGTTCTTTGTCTTCAACATGGATTGGACCATATCCAAGATAGTCCGGTTCTTTCTCTCAGCTACTCTATTTTGCTGGGGTGAGTATGGCGCGGTCAAAAACCGCCTTATCCCGTGTTCTTCACAATACTTCTTGAATGCTATTGACACATACTCCCCACCTCGGTCTGAACGGACCGACTTGATGTATCTTCCAGTTGTATTTTCAATCATCACTTTAAACCTCTTAAAGGTATCCATCACCTCGGATTTTTCCTTCAGAAAATACACCGAAGTCTTTCGACTAAAATCATCAATAAAAGTTACAAAATATTTCTTACCACTTAAGAACCCCGGAGCAATGGGTCCACACAGGTCGGTATGTATCAACTCCAGAGGCTGCTTAGCCCGGTATCTCGTCGTCCTTTTGAATGGGCTCCTTGCATGTTTTCCCAATACGCAGTCCTCACAAAACTTTCCTTCAGAGTTTATCTTTGGCAGTCCCATCACCATGTTCTTCTTCATCATCTCGGTCAGACCACCATAATGAAGGTGTCCAAACCGTCGATGCCACAGCGACATCTTATCCTCCACCTCGGCTTGCAGACAGCCGACCTCTGTGCTCCTCAGACTCAGCTAGTACATTCTGTTCTTTTCCATCTGAACTCGGGCTATCAGACGCCCTTGTATATCTTTCAATAGTAGAACTCGATCTGTCATTAGAACCGAGTAGCCCTTTTCCATCAACTGTCCAACGCCCAGAATATTGCTTTTGAGCTCAGGCACGTAATAAACGTCCCGAATCATACCAACTCGTCCATCCTTTTGCAAGAAACAGATCGTACCTCGGCCCTTTACATCAATTTTAGACGCGTCTCCGAAAGAGACATGTCCGGCTTCCACCGTCTTCAATTCTTTGAACAAATGTTTGTAACCACACATGTGATTACTGGCACCAGTATCCAAGTACCACTCCGTCTCACTCTTCGAACTCGTTTCACCATGTGCTAACATCAGAACTCCTTCATCTTTTATCTCTCCTTCCGCAGCAAAGTTTGACGTCCCGTCAACTCTCCTTTCATCTCGGCAATCCTTCGCGAAATGCCCAACTCGGCCACAATTGTAGCATCTGTCCGAGTTGCAGTCCTTTGAGTAGTGACCATACTTGCCACACTTATAACATTCTACATTACTTTGATTCGACCACCAGCCTCTTCCACCTCGGCCACGTCCTCTACCTCTCCAGTTTTGCTGACTCGGCTCAGTTCTTTCTTCATTTCTCACCTCATGACCTCGGCCACGACCACCTCGGCCATTTCCACGTCCAGCTCGTCCACGATCTCTACCTCGGACGTTCAGAGAATAGAGCGCCTTCTCATCCTTAATGGTTGCTTTTGTCTGGAGTGCTTGCTCCAGTGACTCCTCCTTGTTCTGCTTCATGCGCCTCATGGGAACCTGCTAGCTCGTCAATATAGAGCGTAGACAAGTCCTTAGACTCCTCGATTGCACACACCACGTTCTCGAAGTTGTCTGTCAACGACCTCAGAATCTTTTCTACTACTCTGGAGTCGGCCAACGCCTCTCCATTCCGCTTCAACTGGTTCACAACGGTCTGAACCCGGGTGATGAAGTCCGACACTCCTTCGGTCTCCTTCATTTTCATCCCCTCCAACTCTCCTCGAAGAGTTTGAAGTCTGACCTGCTTCACACGGTCAGCACCTCGGTAGACCGTCTCCAATATGTCCCAGGCCTCCTTAGCCGTCGTTGCTCCTCCAATCTTTTCAAGACCACCGCTTTCTTCAACAGCTTGAAACATCATAAAGAGTGTTGCTGCATCCTTTGTTCTCGTCGCACTCAACTGCTTGAGTTGATTTGCTGAATATCCTTCTGTTGTTTCAGGTTCTACGAACCCATTTTGCACTAACCCCCAACTGTCATAGGCTCTTAGAAGAGCCTTCATTTGGATGCTCCAATTCTCATAATTGCCTTTTTTCAGGCGAGGCACTGGCAGACCATTACTCACACCTTCCATTTGATATCAAGCTCTAATACCAATTTATAATTCACAGGTCCTCTAATGGTGTTTATCTCTCTATAAGATACACTCACAATTCTCTGAATATACCTCTATTGTATTACTGATTCTACCAAGCCACTTTACAAGAGTTACAATGAGCTATTTATAAGCAATAGTAAATGATTAAGAATAATAATGACCAACTTAAGAAATCTAAACACAATAATTGTCCACTAACAAATACCTAGGGACACACCTCTTCACCATAAACCTTTCATTTTCTATTTTCTTTTATTTAATTTAAAGTTTAAACCCAACAAACATTGACTTTTATCAGAAGCAATACATTAAATTTTATCAAGACTTCACTTTGTATAGAACATATAAACCAAGGCATAACCACTGACTAATATGCAAAACTACAGAGAAACCACAGACAATGACCGAAGAGTGAGAAAGGCTAAGTTTTGTTCATTAATCACGAAGAAATACTTATGTTCTTTCAGATTAATTCATTCAATACTTAACTTTTAAAACAAATTATTTTGACATAGAACTTTATTTGGCATGATTGTATGTGAACCAAGATGCATTTGGCATGGAGTCGAAAGCTAAATCAAAGATATTTATTATGTGAAAATTTTTACTTCAACCTTCTTTCAATTTTGATCTACTTGAAGAAGAGAAGATAGCTCATTTTTTTCCGTCGCCTTTGTGACAATGAATTTGCTACTTATCTTTTTTTTGCTTGCATCATGACGGATGTGTGTCACTTGTTGATAACAACAACAAGGATTTGTAGTTTTCATTAAAAAAAAAATAAAAAAATTGACGTACAATATCATGTTATTTGCTGAGATAGATAAAATTATTTTAATAAATAACATATCATCATGTGTAGTTGTGTACATTGGTGGATAGTTCTTATACAAAAACATATATTTTTCTCTCGTTACAAATGTATCTTGGTCCATGCCAAATACATCTTGCTCCACACACAATTCTTATCTTAATTATAAAAACTGGCTTAGTTTGGACCGAACATAAGAGCTGTATTAGGAAACGAGACAGATCAATTGGCTTGACTTTTTAGGGCTTTTTTATTTTTTTTGTAGTGGCGGTCAAATCCAAATTCAAGATGTCACGTTACGTGTTAATTATGTTGCCTCCAGTATTTAAGTGCATTGAGCAACACAAGGAAGTAATATCCATCTTCTGTGTTTCCAACCAGTTATCTAACTCCCGTAGTCTCGTCTTCCACAACCAAAAAATGAAGCTTTTTTCTCTCATGTTACCTGCATTTTGCTCTACATACCTTCACCTATTTCTTCTCTTTACACTGAACTCATTGTGTTTTGGCCCAAACACAACTGCCTCTACATTGGGAAACCAAACTGACCATTTGGCATTGCTCAAATTCAAGGAATCAATATCCAATGACCCATATGGAATCTTGTTCTCTTGGAATAGTTCTACCCACTTTTGCAACTGGCATGGAATCACATGCAGCTCCGTGCACCAAAGAGTTACTGAGTTGAACTTACAAGGTTATCAATTGCATGGGCTCATATCTTCACAAGTTGGCAATCTCTCTTTTCTTATAAACATCAACCTCGCAAACAACGGCTTCTACGGAAAAATCCCGCAAGAATTGGGTCGATTGTTACAACTGCAGCAACTCTCTCTCGTCAACAACTCGTTAACTGGGGGAATTCCTACAAACTTGACAAGTTGCTCTAATCTCAAGGAGTTACACTTATCTGGGAACAATTTAATTGGTAAAATACCAATTGAAATGGCCTCTCTTCGGAAGCTTCAAGTTTTTGCTGTTGCAAAAAACAATATAACCGGAGAAGTCCCACCCTTCATAGGGAATCTTTCATCCCTAACAGTTCTATCAGTGGTTTTTAATAACTTAGAGGGAGATATTCCACAAGAAATATGCCTCCTCAAAAACTTGACAATTATAGCAATGGGTGTCAACAAATTGTCGGGTACATTTCCTTCTTGTCTTTACAATTTGTCATCTCTTACTATAATCTCAGCTACAGATAATCAATTTAATGGGTCTCTTCCACCCAACATGTTCCTCACCCTTCGCAATCTCCAAGTACTTGAAATTGGAGGGAATCAAATATCAGGTCCAATCCCCACTTCCATTGCAAATGCTTCGGTCCTTCAAATATTTGAGATAACTGAAAACCATTTTGTAGGACAAGTTCCAAGTCTAGGGAGGCAGAGAGATTTGTATATCCTAATTTTGTCAGAAAACAATCTAGGTGACAACTTAACTATGGATTTGGAGTTTTTAAACTCATTGACAAACTGTAGTAAGTTGCAATTTTTAGATATAGAATACAATAAGTTTGGAGGTCGTTTGCCAAATTCCTTGGGCAATTTATCTTCCCAACTCAGTGAACTATACATTGGGGGTAATCAGATATCAGGAAAAATTCTTGCAGAATTAGGAAATCTAATTAGCTTAACTCTCTTGAACATGGAATACAACCATTTTGAGGGTATTATTCCATCTACTTTTGGAAAGTTTCACAAGATGCAAGTATTAGATTTGGTTGGAAACAAGTTGTCAGGAGATATACCATCCATCATAGGCAACCTCAGTTTGTTGTATCATTTGGAGTTAGCCCATAATTTCTTAGAAGGAAATATTCCTCCAAGTATAGGAAACTGTCAAAAGTTACAATATCTTAACCTTTCCCAAAACAATCTTGGAGGAACTATACCTTTAGAGGTTTTTAGTCTTTCCTCTTTAACACTCTCCCTAGACTTGTCACGTAACTTATTGGGTGGTAGTATACTAGATGAAGTGGGCCAATTGAAAAATATTGGTGGGCTAGATGTCTCTGAGAATCATCTGTCAGGTAATATTCCTAGAACCATTGGAGAATGCTCAAGCTTGGAGTACCTTTATTTGCAGGGGAATTCCTTTCATGGAATCATCTCATCCTCTTTGGCTTCACTAAAAGGTCTTCGACATTTAGACCTATCACGAAATCACTTGTCTGGATTAATTCCTGATGTTTTGCAGAATATGACTTTCTTAGAATACTTAAATGTATCATTTAACATGTTGGATGGTGAGGTACCAACTGAAGGTGTCTTTCGAAATACAAGTGAGTTAGCAGTGACTGGAAACAACAAGCTTTGTGGAGGTGTTTCAGAGATGCATTTACCACCATGCCCTGTCAAAAGTGATAAACTTGCAAAACACCACAATTTCAGGTTGAAAGCAGCGATAATTAGTGTAGTTGCTTTTCTACTCATACTGTCATTCATTTTCACTTTCTATTGGATGAGGAAAAGTAGCAAGAAACCATCTTCTGATTCACCAACAATTGACCAGCTGGCCAAGGTTTCATACCAAAACCTACATCGCAAAACTGATGGGTTTTCAACAAGAAACTTGATAGGATCTGGAAGTTTTGGCTCTGTGTACAAAGGAACTATTGAGCCAGAAGACACAGTTGTTGCCATAAAGGTCCTAAATCTTCAAAAGAAAGGAGCTCACAAGAGTTTCATTGCTGAATGCAATGCACTCAAAAATATCAGGCATCGAAATCTGGTTAAGATTTTAACATGTTGTTCTAGCATAGATTTCAAAGGTCAAGAATTTAAAGCTCTTGTTTTTGAGTACATGACAAATGGAAGCTTAGAAAGTTGGTTGCATCCAGCAGCAGATATTGCATATCATCGTAGATCATTTAACCTTGAGGAAAGGTTAAATATTATTAATGATGTCGCTTTAGCAGTTCATTATCTTCACTACGAATGTGACCAACCTGTCATTCATTGTGATTTGAAACCTGGCAATGTCCTTCTTGATGATTGCATGGTAGCTCATGTAAGTGATTTTGGTCTAGCAAGATTGCTCTCGAGTGTTGGAGTCTCTTTGACGCAAAGTAGCACAATTGGAATAAAGGGAACTGTTGGTTATGCTCCTCCAGGTATATCCTAATATTGTTTTGTTATGTTGTAAAAAAATTTATTTTCAAGTTTTAGCTAATGTTTATGGACCTTTATTTCCTATTAGGTTAATTTTTTGTTATCTTTAATGGCATTTACTAATTTGCATTATATTTCAGAGTATGGAATGGGTTCCGAGGTGTCAACTGAAGGCGATATGTATAGCTTCGGAATTCTGATTTTAGAAATGTTAACCGGAAAGAGACCCACAGATGAAATGTTTAAAGATGGTCACAATCTCCATAATTATGTTAAAATTTCACTTTTGAATGACTTTTTGCAGATTGTGGACCTCACTATTCTCACCGATGTAGAAAATGCCAGTAACAATGAGAACCTTAACCTTATGCATCCTAATGTAGAATATTGTTTGCGTTCGCTTTTTAATATTGCACTTGCTTGTTCAGTGGAATCGCCAAAAGAAAGAATGAGTATAATTGATGTCAACAAGGAGCTCAATCTAATCAAAAGTTTCTTCCCTTCGGGAATTTAATGGAGGCTATCCAAGAAAAAGCATTATGTAGAGGCGCCATCATACTATTGCTTCCAATTATCTTAAATGTTTTTCTTGTAGTTGTCCATTGCAATTTAAAAAACTAAGAATAAAAATGCAGTATAAAATTTCCTTGTTGTTTACTTCTGCAACCATAGTGTAACTGCATTCCATCCACAAAAAAAGAGTTATTACTTTTGAAATACGGGAGCAGTGACGTCGGTCTCTTTTTATTGCGGTTTTTTATTAGAAAAATATAATATAAAAGGTAAGTGATAGTTTCACTCTAGCGTAATACTAAGAAGTCTTACTCTCTATCTCAGCCGTTGATTTCCGTTCATCCAATAGCTATAATTTATTTGTAAATAATAAGTAATTAATTGATATAATTCAATAAACTATAATCGTCAGATGAACAAAAATTAAAGGAATAAACCTTTTAGTCTTACATGATGACAAAAGATCACTCCTCAATAAATAAAGCTATTAATATAACATTAACTTAATTGCTTAAGTTTTTGGATTGAATTGAGTGCATTTTATGATATTAGAGCCTTCTTGATTACTTGGTCATGAGTTCAATCATCACCATTCTCATTTTATTAATAAATAATTAAATATGATAATTTATAGATGAATTTGTATATTGTCCATACATTGCCCAATAAACTCTTTAATGTTTCTTTAGGAAACGTGGAATGCATAGTTTACGGTGATGTCCAAAATGGTTTCAAAATGTGTGCAACCAGAGTATAACTGTTTCAGTTTAGGCATTTGCTTTCAATTTGGAGCGGTTTTGTCTGGCTTTTTTATTACGATTTATGATTCCTTAGCTTGATAACCTTTTATTCATGCTTTTTTTGCTATATAGTTAAAGGATTATATGTTTTACATGTTACATGATATAATTTATCTTATGCAACACATAAAAAAGTGTGTGAAATTTACTTTTTTTTCTTTTTCTCTCTTCTCCTTAGTGGGTCCCATCCACTTTTTGTGTGTGTATTACATGAGATAAATTATCTCATCCAACGAGAAACATATTCCCCACAATTAAATCATGTGAATTATTTCGTCCATCTTCTTGTATTCTTATCATAAGATTTTTCTATCATAAAAGTTGTTACAGACAAAATGTTATATGTTCATTCCTAATATTTTAAAATATTATAACTTATAATTGTCGATGTTATACTAGAAAATTACTTTCGGGAATAAACTAGATTTTGAACATTAAAATTACTACCAAAAAATGCACATTCAGCGATGGAACAATTTCGTCGCAAAATAGAAAAATTCTCTCGCAAAAAACAGTTTGCGATGGAATTGGGGGGGAATAAGTTTCATCGCTAAATGTTTCCTTGCAAGCCATATTTGCGACGTAATATAGTCAATTAAAATTCCACCGCAGATAGCAAAAAAAAATATCTTTCGCGCAAAATACTATAATTCCATCACCACAGTCAAACCTGTGTACAGTGTTATTCCATCGCTGATTGCGACGAAAATTACAGGGGAAACATCCATCATAAACTAGCGATGAAAAAAATATTATATTGTCATCGCAAAATTTGCGACAGAAGTAAAATGTAATGTCTTCGTACATTCAGTAACGAAAAAATACCCTATGTCGTTGCCAACTTCAGACAAAGAAACATATCTGTCGCAATATTGGTCTAGAATTTGCGACGGTTTGGTTACAAGTTCCATCACAAATGGATGCATGAATTTTTTTTACATAATATCTTATATTTTTATAATATCTTCCTGTAAACAGCAGGTCCAGGTGAATGAACACAAATAATACTAGATATACCAATTAAATTCAAAATCCATATCAGTTAAAGTTATCAGTATCAATCTTAAAAAATACATAAATTATATGTAAACAGATTAAAACAAACTAAAAACAGCTATAATCATAAATAATGTCTCTAAAGTCCTAGCCTAGCCATCATATTAATCATCCTCATCATCCCTCATTATCATCATTCTCGTCTTCCAGAGGCGATCCCTTCTTCTTATTATTGCCTTCGTTCTCCTTCATCAAGAATTGGAGTTGTTCCTACATTTGCTTCATCATTTCTGCTTGCTGAGTCAACTACAGTGTTGCAACATTCAATTGCTCCTCCAACTAGGACGTCTTCTGCTCATATTGTGCTTGTGTGACATCCATATTCTGAATCAACGCCCTCATCCTTTTAAGCTCATCTACAAATGCAACATTACAAAGTAAGTTAATTTTTTATACTTAATACATCATTATAATGAAAACATAAAACGTTACCTATCTGCCTTGAGTTTACTTGCAGAAACACTTCCAACCTTGCTAGAGGGCTGCTTACTAGCCTTTAATCGCCTGTCATATCCTCCCAGCTCGACCACCCTTTCTTTCTTGTTGAATCCTGATATAGCCGAAAGGAAGATGTTCTCATTATCGGAATAGAAGGAGCTAGATTGACCGTCTATAGGCGCCTGTGCGGACCTCTCATCTTCAAGCTTTTGATAGTTTTCCTACAATTAAAGAAAAACCAGCACACATATAGACATGTAAAACATGACATAAACCCTCATAGGAAAAAAATGTGCATTAATAAATGCTCAAACCTCTATTTGCTCCGCTCTGGGGTTTAACCACTACTTCTATCCAACTGCAGAATCCTGCGAATGGGTCCGGTGGAAGGTAGTCTAATCAATCTTTTTTGGCGATACCTCCCCAGAAGCTTCCTGCAAATACAAATAAGTACCATTGATTCCTTAGTTGCAAGTAAGACATATTGAATACCGAAATAGAAAAATAATGTTGAACAATAGGTTTCCAAGTTTATATATTTGAAGTTTTGATGATTATAAAGTACCAACAAGCTCAACATGGATGCACAAATTAGAAGGCAGTGCAACAAATTCCAAATGAATTTAGAAGATCAAGGCAATATGGAAAAGTGAAGAAGTAATTCAAACATGCAAAGTAAAGTTTCCAAGTGAAGAAAGGCTCAAGAATATATTGTTTGTAATGTTAATTAGAGTCTTAGAAATGTTGAGAATTGGGTTTATTGAGCTATATCTCTCAAGATTGCATTTAGAAGATTTGATTTGAAAGAAGATTTAAAAGTTTTATTTTTAATCCAAATAATTTTTTTGAAAGATTTGGTTTGGTTTGGTTTTTTATTTGAAAAAGAAAAGGTTAATTTGATATTAATTCCCTTTTTTGAAAGATTTGATTTGGTTTGGTTTTTGATTTGAAAAATAAAAAGTTAATTTTAGATTAATTTTTTTTTGAAAGATTTGATTTGATTTTATCTAATTTCGAAAACTTGATTTGAAGATTTTGATTTTATTTTCCAAAAGATATTTTAGAAAATTTCTTAAAAATAATGATACAATTGGTGGTGGTTTAGGGGTGGTTTAGGGGATGAGTTTTGGTCTCTGTTTAGTGGTGTTTTAGGGGATGAGTTCTTGAGTTTCTTGGAGGGAGCCATTGTTTTGGCTTTTGGAGCTTCAAGAAGCTACCTTTGAAGAGAAAGGACCCATCTTGAAGTTGTATTTTTGTGGCCTTGCTGTGTCTGAACTTTGGGACTGACTTGAGAGCTCCAAGAGCAACCTTGTTTTTTGTTTTGAGCTTTGGGGTATGTTCTTGAACCTTGTTCATGAGTTTTCTATGATAAAAGTTAAGTCTTGGCATGTAAAATGAGATGAGTAGGTAACCAACACCATCACTGACCTTAAGGTGTCTAAAAATGCATGCTTGGTCGTGGATTAATGTTAAAAGATGAACCTTGGTTGGATATCTTCGCAAAAATGCAGAACTGCATTCTGTCGCGAAATATACGGATATGATATCCGGATATTGATATATCCGATATAATATCCGGATATTGATATCCGGATATGGGCTTGGTGATATCCGGATATGATGTCCAGATATGGCCCCGACAAATATTCGAATATTCTGGGAATTTTGAGTTGGTCAGTGTTTTATTCATACAGAATGGTATAATGGGTTTGTGGACCCATGAGTGGTTAAGTTGAACCTCTATAATAATTGAACTAAGTCAGAATCACTTAGATTAAGGGCTTACGGCTTTGGGAAAAGCCAAATGGCATGCAATGAAAAAGGAAACGATGTCGTTATGTCATGAACTATTAGATTATGAATGTTGATATGATTGTTGGTATAAACAAACCGTGAGAGTGCTGTTTGTGGACCTTGAGCGGTTGTGGACTCTTGACTTTGGATTGTTAGCTTGCAAGGTAAGCTTTTGTGTCCTCGGTTTTACCCATTGTTGGTTCCACCATACCTCATGGAGGGATGATTTATATGCATGATGTGTTTTCATGAAATGATGATTATTGAAATGTTTTTTAGCTGTTAAGTGCAAGTGCCTTATGACATGTATGTGTTGTTCCACTAGACGGTAAGCCTGAGTATGTAGCATCATACAAGATGGTGATTCTGTGGGTGAGGTGCAAGTAGCGTCTTGTACTATGGGTTGTAGACGTATGTGATTCCTGCATGTTTATTCTCTGGCCAGTAGGATTCTGACACGCATGACATGATTATATACTGCATTGCACAGATTTTGGAAATTATACTGTTTTACTTTTTTTGAACTTATATTGCACATGTAAGTGAGCTTAGGGTGGAGAGATCCTTGAGGACCCCTTGTCTTACTGAGATTTCTTTTTAGAGATCTCACCCCACGTTGGGACACATTTTCAGGTTCAGGTACCTCGGGGGTTAATACCTCTGGTGGCAGGAGGCCGGAGCTGAGCTGATATGCATGTTGTTTATACTGTTATGCCTGGATGTTGACCATGCTTTATTTTCATTATATTGTTATTTGAGCTGAGATTATATTGAGCTTTGTTGCCTTATTTAGTGAACATGTGGTTGTCCGTGCCACATTGACTTGATTATGTTATTTAGACTTGAGTTGTATAATGTATCAGGATTATTGTCCGGACTACGTGTTGTAGTTCCGTGATTAGATACACATCTA